TGTTTTGCTTTTTCAAATTATGATTTCACATTAACTGAATTATACAGTTTTTTCTTTCTGGTGCTGTTTCAAAAGTTTAGTTGGCCTAATTAGAAAAATTGATTACAGGAGTCGTGAAAGTGCTGCTTTTTCTAAGGGTGCTGGAAAAGATCGGTTCTCTACCGAAACTTTATTGCCACCAACCAAACTGGTACGTTTGCACACAAATTTTTGCTCTGTAGAACCCAATTTTAGAAGATAAAAGAAAAGCACTCACCGTTTTGTTGTTGCGTAGTTCTCTAAATTGTTTTCTACAGTTTTTTGAAATACTTTGAAACTTCAATGTCAATTTCTAAAATAAAATGATCACTTAGTTGCATAAGATTTAGCTAAGTTTGCCGATAAAATAAACGTTTTCTTGTTGGCAAAAAAAAGTAGTAGTGTATCAAACTTTCCAAAACCAATCGCAACTGCCTTATGATTGAATCTACCACCACTGTTATTGAAACAGTTAAAAAAAATGCTATAAAAGTCTTAATGCTTTTTTTTTTTTCAAAAATAATTGTGCAAATGAAATTGGTTGACTAAAAGAAAATTTTTCCGTAGTCATCTGGATGTTTTTATCGATGTTCTGTAACAATTTTCGTTCGTCTCTTGAAAGTCAACTTAGGTTTTTTTTTTCTAAACACCTTCCTTAGTTTACTTCGCTTAAAAAAATGATTCTTATTTTTTTTTTGAGATTATTGCTGCATTTGAGGGACTTAATAGTTATATAACTTTATGCTTTCTTGCTATGTGCATATGAATCTTAAACATATGCTTTTCGGTACGTAATCAGAGCAAGAGTTTTACAAAAAAAAAAAGATTGTGCTTACTTTATCTGTATGTCTAGCTAGACTGTTATGCTTATATATTACTTATCTGAAACAAAAGTAAGGAAATTTAGCTTTTATTATTTTTCTCTTCTTACGCTGCAGAAGATGGTAATATTATCAGCTTGGTTACAGGATGTTGACCAACAAACCATGATCGCCAATTTTTGTATTTTTCATATGTTTACTATAGCATATTTATCACTGAAAAATTTCTGTTATTTTCAATTACCAAAACAATGTTGCAGCAATGAATGATATGGCAGATATTGATGTCTACCTTTATTATAAGTTTTATCGGCAATAGCAGTAGTGCTTAAAAAGTATATCTACAATTTTACTGGTTTGAAAAGAACTATTACTGCTTTAGCGCTACTTTTTTCAGTTTGATCTAGACTAGCTGTTAGACAAGGGCAAATTTTTGTTTGCTATAGGTGATGGTAAGAGTAAGGCACTGTTCATGATTGAAATCTGTAAAAAGCTACAAATATAGTATTATTTACAAAATTAATGTGAGAAAATCGAATCATGGCAAAAGGGGAAGAGGCGAAATATGTGCGTGTTGTTGACTTTTTTTTTTTTTTGCAAATTCTTTTTGAAGATTGACATATAAAATACGTGCTAAAGGCGTTCAGAAATGATGATCAACAATTTTTGTTTTTTTTTTTCTTTTAAAGGTCAATATGAAGGATGATGATGAATTTCATGATGCTGTTTCTGAACCGACCTCTAGCGACAAGACAAAATTGTCGTCTCCGGATAGCGCTCTTGAAGGTTTCCAATTATTGCTCTTTTCCGGGCCACTGTTTACCCATCTCTTTCATAAGTCAAATGAATTACACGTTATTTTCGCTCAGATACTTGACATACCTTTTTTCCAGATTTCAGATGGAATTTTTTGTTTTTACAAATTATATTTTTGTTTTCTATTTTTTAGCTTAATACTTTGTACGGCAATAGGCCACAGCTACAGAAACTGCAAGAGGGACGTAAAATGTTTAGGAGTTTTTAAATAATAGATGCAAAAACGTGTATCCAATGTCTTTTTTTTCTCTTAACTTACTAGTTCGTAGAAGTGACAGAATAAAGGGTAAAAAGAAGTATTTTGAACCTTGGTAATATTTTATAGACTTTTTTTTTCGCAGATTCTAGCAACTTTTTGTTCAATTTTAGAAAGCAGAAATATTTTATCAGCTTTCGACGTAATCTTGGAGTATTCTGTGATGATAAACTTGAAGGTTTTTGTTTTTTTTTTAAGATTCATTTCTATGTAATTCTTTAGTACTGAATAGGGTTGAAATAGAGTCATTATGAATTTAAGGAGACAAAGTGAAAGTGAATAACGCTCCTAAAATGGACGACGTTGCAAACATCGATCAAAACGGGAACATCTTAGAAACATCTCAGGTAAATTTTCATTTAAATTGCTAATGAATTATAATTTATTTGAACAAAAATTATTGCCCATTATGGTTAATTTGTGATTTTTTTTTTTTATTTTTCACTTTCTTTTCTCGAGCATCGGTCAAATAATTTCTGCATATGACATATTCTCGTGTTTCTTTAGGACAAAGAGGTAGTGATCTGTCTAATGGACCTGATTCAGCAAATTTCTTTGAATTCACTACCACCGCCACTAGAAACTGTCGAAAAAGCGTATTTGTTCAAAGAAGCAGATAAAACCTTCCCAAAAAAAATTTTAAACTCAGCGAGTCATGGAAGTCTCACAAAAATGGAAACCAAGAGTGAAACGTCTACTGAAGTAAATTGAACAACTGGTTTAATGCTTTATAATAGCCTAGTATTGTTTTTAAAAACTTGGGGCAGACCGAATTTAGATATTAAACTTGATAGTTGCGGATGACCATAAATTTTACAAACACTTCAGGTTGCATTTTTGGAAAATTATGGGTCACTAATGACAGTGGTAAACTGTATTGACAAAATCGTATGGTACAATAGAAATTCACTGTAAACGTAATATCTGAGAAAGATTCTTGTGAACATCAAATTAATTTCCAT